GCTTAAGATATATTAATTATGGAATTGCTTACAGTTTTTTCTGTGATGACTCATTGTGACAGGATTACTTATTGATTGATGTTCATGGAAATGTTACTTACAATAAAGTAACTAAAAAAATGGGGGCAGATAAATTAATGGGTGATCAGTTGCCTTAGTATGTTAAGAATGATTCCAATATATTTGATTTACAGGTTAATTTGAACTATACATTTTCAAACAGGGTACTGAATCACACCTGAATTTCATTTTTCCATATTAATAGTCCCCCCTTTTAATGATTGCCTTTCATTTTAACAAATAAAATATTAATTGACAGATTTTCCCAGAAATGAAATATTGTGCTGGAAAATCAGGGCTGGAAAAATGTGATTGCTCAACAGTAGAAACTGGATTAATATTATTGCCTTGTTCTCCCTTAACAAATTAAAGTTACCATGATATTGAGGCTAAAGTGTTGGGTGTAGATCAAGGAAGTGGGTCTAGATTTTTGTTTAACCATGAAGTTTACCATGCAACTTTGGGTCAGTAATTCTTTATCAGCTTAACGTACGTAATAAGAGTACTATGAGGATTAAATGAAATGAACTTTTAAGGACTTGTCCAGGCAACCTGTTCGTTCAGCATTTACAGTATCTGGATTTGCTTGCACAAAGCTTACACAATAGTTAGACTATGTCCAGTCTTTATTGAGCATTCATTCTGATTTGTTTGCTGGGAGGCTGGGAGACAATTAGCATTCATCTTGCTTGGGTTGTGGGATGTTTATAAGTCTTCCATTAATCATTTGCTTATCCCACACTTTTAAATGCATTTCCCTGTCACTTTCTAAGCTGCAAAAATTCTACACTTTTTTTTTAAAGTGGATTTCTTGTGCTAGGACAACAAAACACTTCAATTGACTTTGTGCAAACCTAAAGTTCTGGTATGCACATGAGCCCTTCCCACAAAATAGTAAGTCAGAGGCAACCTCAGGCAAAGATTGCAACATAAATGAGATTGAGTGCGACCCCATGCATGTCTGCTCAGACATATGTCCTATTGACACACACACACACACACACACACACACACACACACGATAGCAACCTAAATATGCACACAAAAGGGAACTGCCTTGAAAGACCCTTTTTATTGCCAAAAAGGTGCATACTTCACCACTGCTAGTTCCATCAGAGCCAAGCGTTAATGATTCTTGGTCAATTGTCCAACCTTCACACTATCTCATCACTAAATAACTACAGATATGAAGAAAAAGCAGACATTTGCACTACTGCGCTATGGTCAGCTATAAATATTAGAAGTTCTGCCAAGTTATATAAAAGGAAACTCAGAGAAAACTTGGAGGATCTCCCATCACATGTGCTGGATTCAGTACAAATATTTGCTGTGGGGAAAACAATCTATTGATCTATGGTAATGATTTTTGAACTACAACAAATGAAGTAATGATGCCATTATTAATCTATATATGATCAAAACTGCTTTCATAACCATCCTTATGCTTTTCTAATTCATGGGCCGTTTTCTCTTATGCACATAAAACTTGAAAATGTAAGGCTGCAGATAAGCTTTTCTCAACCCAGTGCCCTCAGTGTTTTGGCAATAGCAGATGCAAGGTTGGGTGTTCTGGCACTCACCTGAACTTAAGTTGGTCATGTCACTGCTGCTTACGGGGAGGTGGCAAGGTCAGTGCGGACCACTGCATTGGTTCTGCCAGGTTGTTTGCACTGTACCAACCTTGCCAACTGAAGCTGCTCATAGTCTCTATTCTTTTCATTTGCAGTAATTGCTACTGGTTTCATTTCATTTGCAGCAATTGATATTAGCTGGGGAGGGCAATGCTTTTCACTCATGCCTTGGAAACTGGAATGTGCATATGAATAGGTGCATGTAGGCCCCTCCATTAGTCATAACACCACCAAGACATGGGCACTAAGCCGTGAACAAGGTGGAGTGGTGGAGATGACATTGGTTGAACCATACTGTACCTGAGGAACAGACTCAAGCAACTAACAGACAGGAACTAACGGTGTAGACCTATATTTGTCAATGGAAACCACTGTGACTTCTGAATTCATCTAAGTTTGTGGCTATCATTGCATCTTGCGCTAGGGAAGTCCATCATTTGATTATGTGTGTTTGTCAAGTCAAAGGTAACCAAATGTGAAACCGACCTGTTCCTGCCTTATGTGCTGTGGATTGTAGAAACTGATTCATTTTAACCACACCAGTCCGAACCCCACAGCACATGTTGTACGCCATGTGAAACCATCCTCCCAACAAAATTGTAGTGCCTTGAAACCCTCAGCAGCAAGATTGCTTAATAAAAACTGTTTAAACGTCACAGTCATTTCCCTTTTATTTGAAAAGTGCCCTATTGACCATTATAAGCTTTATAGAAACAGCATGTCACATCCTGGCTGCAGTGTGTATGTTCGATCGCTGAACTCATTCCCGAAGACGAACTGGAGCATGTTCAGATACTGAGCTCATTCCCAGTGATGAAATCCATGGGTAAGACTTTGGCGCTATTAAAGTTAATGGGAAATTTGCCACCGACTTCAAGGGACTGGAATTCCATTTACATGATTCTAGTATTTACACCAGATGTCACACATGATAACCACAGCAGTCAGATATGATATCAACGTGATAAAGTGAAGCGCTTGCTACTTTGGCAGCAAGGGGCGATTCTAAAAACCAATATATCCTTCCTTCCCAGCAATTCATAACTGCAGCTGGAATCTAAGTTATAAGAAGGAGGCCAGCAAGGAGAAAACTCCATGCCTACTACACTTTTGAGATGTACAGTTTCAGATGACTGAAGACCACTTGTAATGGCTTGACATAACCTAGCTAGACAAGGTTTATGGTTCCCAGTGACTACAAAGTATTTATTTATTTATTTATTTTGTATAACACCCTTCATCTGCAGATCTCAGGACGGTTCAAGAATTGCACCTTTACTTAAGTTTAGAAAGGACATTAACTATTAGGAAAAATGGTAGCTGCTCACCTTAGTCAAGATTTCTAAATTTATTTATTTCATATAATTTATACACTGCTTGATTGTGGGTGGGTGGAGGAAGGAACCCTCAGAATGTTTTACAAAGATTTTGCTTTTTGCAATTTGGTATATGGGGATGTGTTCAAGTTGCTTTGATATTTTTCTTGACTTTATGAATTTGTATCTACTCTTCTTTCCAGAACTACTTTTTGAACCCCACAATACTCAATAAAATCCCCACACTAAACCCTCCTGGATCCAAATCATAATTCATGTTAAATGTCGATAAGAAATGGCGTATTTCAGCCACAGTGGAGTGCATTTAAACCAATGGAAAATAATATATAAGGTGAGCTTAATTGTCTCACTGAAATAAATGGGATTTAAAAGTGCCCAACTTTGGAACATCCAGCTCAAGTTAATTATGAAATTGTAATTGGTATGACTGAAATCTAATTCACGAGTAAACACTTGAAGGATTACAGCCTCCAAATTTGTATCTAATTTTAACTTAAATATTTCATTACTAAGATATATATAACACATAATAGCTCAAAACTCTATTACATTTATGGGAAAGCCGCATATTTGAATCACAAAAGTTTGAATTAAGGTAAAGTTGTCTAATTTACAAAACACACACAAAATACTCAGAAGTGCAACTTATTGAATCCAGACAATTTTTCTGCCATGTAAATACTCCTAGGCTTTAGTCTGCAATCCTATATTCACTTACCTGGGAGTAAGTCCCAATGAGACTTAATTCTAAGTCATTTATTCTAAAATGTTTCAAAAAACAGATGTTGGAACTATTTTTTAGAAAAATAAATGAAACCAAAAAGGGTTATGTTCCACAAACATGTTAATTTTAATCAAACTGATTTCTCTGGAAATGCAAAAAATTAAACAGTTATAAAATGCATTTTTGCCTAACCTTCACTTGTGTATTGCATCTACAAATTGACCTTCAGAGTATAAGCCACTAGGTACAATCCAAAATTGAAAATAAAAAGACATAAATTGAATTGTGTTCAATCAAAATTGAGTTGATTATATACTCTGGATTTTGCCCAGTGTATGAGGGCAAGTAATTGTTGTGTTATTGTTATAAGTTAAAGAAGAAAGGAATCTACCAACCCCAAACACTTTAAGCATTACTAGATTATTTTACTCCTAATACTTATACAAAATGATTGATCCTATTATTTGTAAAAGCCTCCATTTGTAAAAGCTTCCATTTCCAGGATGCTAGTAGTTGAAATAGATTTTCAGATATAAAAGTTTTACAAATTTATTAATTAATGATGCTCAAAATGCATTGGAATGGATGAGAAGGAACATATAATCTAATATTTAAATTTTATGTACAGGAATATAATGTCTGACAATTTTGTACATGAAATACATACAGTATTTAAACATTTAAAATTTACGAGATAGGAATTTACATTAGCAATAAAACTGACTTCTGCGTAGTCCAGTTAATACTTAGTTTAGATCTGTGTTTTAAGAGGGGGAAGATATTTTAATAGTTTACAATCATGGAAACATAGACATTTCAAACAAGACTTTATAAAATAATTTACATGACCCTATAGCCTACTAAGAGATAGAGGTTGTGTGGGAGTTTTGTTTCTGTGTCTGTGCATAAGAATAAGGTAACTGAATGACTTTTCTTAGCCTTTGAAGTAATAAAATAATTTAGAAGCACTTCATGCAATATGGAAGCGAAAAAGGCAGTTCCTTCAATATTTCCTACTACTTTCGTTATCTACTGAGCACTGAACTTGGACCACCAGACGCATGATAATGCAACTGTCCAATACCAACGAAGGGCACCAGCCTCAGTTCCTTCATTTGCTCTTGCAAACATAAATATAGATGTTAATATCTTCTCTATATAGTACCAATACAGTTCACAACTCCTCTGCTGTGTAAGTAGTCAGTCCATATACTTAATGTTCTGCTGATTTCAACATGAGAAGTGCCACTAACAGAATTTCCTTGTTTTCACAATTTTACTTTGATACTTGACGGAGTGCCCTCCATGTCCTATGACATAAACATCCAGAAGGTAGGATTTGCCAGGCTGTAGACCTTTAATTGTCTCTGTGGTAACTGCTTTTTGTAAGTTTTGGCTGTGGAAATATTTACAGAGGACTTTTTCTGATTTCTTCCTCAAGTCTGGCCCCAGGCACTGATTTTGTTCTCTTTTCTTTTGTTCCTCATTATAGTTGTCATCCACTTCCTTTCTGTATATGCAAAATTTGTTCCTTTCCTGTGTACCTAGCCATGCAACTGTGACTGAAGAACATGTGCGAAGTTTATCAAAGGCTTTAATTCGCGTGTCCTCAGGAAGAGATGGAAATGACTGTTTATTAGGCCTTGTAGTAGCCAAAATCTTCAGCATGGAAGCACCTCTTTTATTTCCTTTCAGTCGAATGAGGTATTTAGCTTTTGGCTTTCCTCTAAGTTGGAACTGACGGACGCCTTCAACATTTTGAGACAACAGAAGTTTACCATCTCTTCTGACTTGGATCTGTACGGCATCGAGGCATGAATGGACAAAAAATGTAACCTTTTGGTGTGATGAAACAGGAGCAAACCGCAAAAATTTAGAGCCTTTTCTCTTGACAAACACATCTGTAACTTTCCCATCTTTGAGATCAACTGTTTTCTGCTTAGCCTCTTCTTTGGTTCTTTCGAAAGTGCCAACATAGGCAGTACTCATATTGGTGTTGACATTCACGGCAAATATGTCAAAGTAGTACTGTGTATCAGGTTTCAGGTCAGACACAGTAAAGATGTTCTTGTTCCCAATGCATATCTTTTCAAGGTCAACTCTAGGCTTTGAATAGACCTGTCGCCCAAACTTTGATGATGACTTTAAGAAGCTGCGCTCTTTCCCAGAATTACTGTTGGATGAAAACCCAAAATGGGCAAAGTCAAAGGGGCTGAAGTCCAGACCAGGTTTGGGAGCTCTCATAAAGGCATCATCAGCACTTTGCTTAGCTTCAACAGCACAGAGACTTTTGAAATTGTGCTCTTTATTAATGACCACACAATATTGCATAGGTTGTTTCAGTAACGAAGCTGTAGGGCTTGGTTTCCATGCCAAAGTGACAGTTGTGCGGCCAAGAGAAGTGACATCAACTCTTGGGTCATAAGGTAGTTCAGGATATGGTTGATCTGACTCTGGAGTTGTTGTGGCATACACTTTAAAGTGTGTGTCTTTCTCTGTTGACAGGAGTTCCAGCTGGTACAACCCAGAAGGTGAACTGGAGGACACAAAATACTCAACATCGTTTCCTCTGTAGGAGAACAGCTCTGTACCTTCTTCATTGAGAATCTGTTGTTTCTGCTGTTCAAGTGGCTCAGGTTCACCTAGAAGACACACAAAGGGATTTTTTTTAGGAAAGGTGTTCTCATGGGAAACAAATATATATGTTTAAGTACCAAAATAAATGATTGCTTGGTGGAAACTTAATCACGAAACAATATGGTTTATGGTTTGCAATCCATTCAACTTTTGAATAAGTAGCACTGAGATTTTATTGCTATATTGCATTCATATATAGAAGAATAAATTACTATATTCTGCTGCTTTAGTAAAAAGATTTAAGGGCATTTAAGACTAAACTTTCCTTTATTGAAGCTTAGTTCTATGCTGGATTCATATTTAACCATCTCTCAATGTTCCCATCCCTGTTCTCTTTGTAAACTGCATAATGTGTGTGAGAAAGAGAGTTAGAGAGGGAGTGTGATAATCTTAATGCATTATTTTGGTATTACAAGCCCTGTTCATATAAGCAATCATTCTATGTAGCATAGTCTAATTTATCAAACTAATTCTAACACACAGATGGTCAGGATTCCTTTAAGACAGTCACACTGATTCATATCTGTCATAAAAACCAGAATTTTATCTGAAATTTACCTGAGCCATCTCCACTGGACTCTTCTGGAAGCTCCTGCAAACTCAGCTTCCATTCCAAAGGAGCGTCACAAGGTGTTACTGTAACTGCTAAGGGTGTGTTATCTTCTTCAACTACAAAAAAAAACCTAGGGAAAGATTAACAAACCCATTAAATTTTTCGCAGTGTGCTTTCAGTACCTTCCAATCAAAATAAATGGATGTATATTTCACATCCTTTCATAAAGACAATCAATTAGCAAACCCTGGCATTTCATAGTTTCCTTAGGGCTTTTATTTAAAGTTAATGTGACATATCTGAGTGGGGTCACTGAGGTTTTGGATTGTGTTGTCAGCAGTATACTGATGACACACAGCTCTGTTTCTCCTCTACATCTGCAGTTATGGCAGTGGATGTGCTGAACTGGTGTTCGGCCTCGATAATGGCCTGGATGAGAGTCAATAAACTGAAACTCCATCCATATAAGACTCAGCCACTGTTAGTGGGTGGTTCCCTAGACTGGATGAATGGGAGACTGCTGGTTCTTGAGGGGGTTATGTTCCCGCTAAAGGAGCAGGTACGTAGCTTGGGGTGCTCCTGGACCCATTTCTGTTGCTTGAGGCCCAGGTGGCCTTGGTGGCGCCAAGCGCCTTCTGTCAGCTTCAGCTGGTGGCCCAACTATATCTGGACATGGATAGCCTAGCTTCTGTGGCCTATGCTCTGGTAACTTCTAGGTTAGATTACTGCAATGCTATACACGTGGGGCTGCCTCTGAAGATGGTTTAGAACCTTCAGCTGGTGCAAAATTTGACAGCCAGGTTGCTCACTGGGGCAAGCCAAGTTGAGTATATAACACTGATCCTGGCCCAACTGCACTGGCTGCCAATTAGTTTCCAGACCCAATTCAAAGCTGGTGCTGACCTATAAAGCCTTAGCTGGCCCAGGACCTCAATACCTTAATGACTGCCTCTCCCCAACAGAACCAACCTAGACCCTGCGCTTGTCACCCAAGGTCCTCCTTTGGGCCTAATTCTCAAGAAAAGGCTATTTCTGTGGTGGCTCCCCATCTGTGGAATGCCCAGTACTATCATTCCATGTCTTTAGGCACCAGGAAAAAACATTCCTCTTTACCCAGGCCTTTTGCCATTAAACAATGACCTTTTAAAAGTGGGGTGAATGTTATAAGGATTTTTTGTGTAATTGTTTTATTGTTGTTGTTTTTTAAATGTGATGTAAATAATCTTTTTAATGTTGTACACTGGGTTATTTGGATAAAGCGCATTATATAAATTGAATAAATATGAATAAAGAAATACATATCTGGCCATACATCCATTTCCTTAGTAGGAATTCTCTAGCTATATACACCTCATTATCATGTGACTGAGCAACTTGATATTTTCACATATCATAGTAAGCATTTATCAATATTTTGCTTTCTTCTGAAGACAACATTTCAGATTAGCAGAACCTAGTGGTATATTCATCAATAATATATTTTACTACCAAGCCAGGTTCGAAGTTGTTATATCAATTTACAAAGTCCTGAACAACTTAGGTCCAGGGATTCCCTGAACCCATATATCCCAACATGATCACTGAGATCATCTGCAGGAGCATCACTGGTCATTCCCCAAGCTGGTGAGGCTCATTTGACATTTCATGTCATCAGCCCAGTCCTATGGAATAATCTGCCAATAAAGATTCAGCAGGTGCCCTCTGTTTCAACTTTTAAGTACCTGCTCAAAACTTCTATTCTGCCAAGCCTGCACACAGGCAATTGAGAATACATATTTCCACAATGGTTAATTGATGCCTGCTTTTAACTTTCTATGTTTTATTGCATGTTTTATGTAGTATTGCTATGAACCACATCAATGTTTTTCTCATTATGATATAGTGGTTTATAAATAAATAAATAAATAAATAAATAAGAAGGCCTCGAAAGGAAAAGGTCATTTCAGCCAGGAATATTGGAAAGAAACATTTGTTTAAAAAGATATTTTCCTTCAAAACTCAACACTTACTATTGGGAATCTGATTACATCTTTTGCTAGTCATTGAAATATTTGTACTTAAGTGTGGTACCTTAATAGCGCCAATGTCCTTTACAATAATATTAAAACGAGATATTGTTCATACTGTGACTCTGTTTTAAAACATATGATGTCTTTCTCCACATTATTATTTTGAAATTTAAGCACACTTTCATTTCTAAGTAGAGAACTAATATTTCTATTCTCCATGCATAAACCCAAATTAAATTTAATTACAAATCCATATAGCAGCTCCACCTGTAACTTCTGTCTCTCTCTGAAAATATCATTAACCCAAATACCTTTTGGGTGTTTCTCTGAAGAGATAGCTGCTGATTTCAGCTCCATCTGGGAGAACTGACGTATCGTGGAAAAATGTTTTGTCCTGGATCTGCATCTGAAAAAGCTCTTCATCTCTAGTTGGCAGCTTCTGTGTCCAGGAGCTAAATGGTAGCAGCAGCAGAAGGTAGGACATGGAACAGTGCAGCAAGAGCATCCTAAAGCAAAATGAAAGGGATGCATTGTAAATGACAGGGCTAGTAAATATAGTTGTTGCTGTAAAAAGGGGGGGAGGTGTTATCTCTTATGCCATAATTCAATTATGTTCGGTATTTGTCTAAGTGATCCATCAAGTCAATAGTCTTTACTTGAAACTCATGTTGTTGTTGCCGTATGATTGAATGAATAAAGCATTTTAAAATTTCCTGCTAGTGGTTTTCCCAACTGAGACATCTAAGGTTTAGGATCTAAAGAAAAGGGCTATAGAGGGGAGTGCTTTGCCAGCGCCACCCGTTCTCACTGACAAGTTTCAGTTACTTTCTCCGGCCAGCCAGTTTTCAAGCAGAGCTGTTCAGAAGAACGGAAAGACAAACTCATTTACAGACATGTTCGACAATATTACAGAAGATCAGGAGACGGCTAGTCTGTTGTCTATTGAGTCTTGTAATTAAACTCTATAGGAAGCCGAGAGAGAGAGAGAGAACATGTAGCTTAATTTGTACTTCATTTACTTTGATACCATAAAAGAAGGAGTGGTTTACAACATTCTGGTACTCTACAGTGTGTCCTCATTACAAAGTCTTTTTCCTTTAATCGTATTTCACAAAGTGTGTATTTTTCTTTCCTCAGTCACTGAATTATTCTGTATAGAACAATGATCACCGCAGGACTAGGAGCAGCAGTGTAATGTAATCTATTTTTGCTTTCTTTCAGCTATATAAACACTCATCTCTTTCTCAGAGTATCAGAAGTATCTTCTTTCCCAAGATCAGGGTTGTATGTGGTAGACATTAGGGAGCTGATTTGCCATTGGTGCTAATAATGGAGGACCAACCCTGCCATGTCTCATCTAACAGAATTCCAGTAGAATCCCCTTATTCAATTGGACTTTCTCTGATGTAGGAAGGATTGCTGCCTCAGACATCTGTTCATAGATAATCAGCATACTGTTTATAAGCCCAAAATAGGTTCAAGGTGTCTGAAGGATTGCTTGTTTACATATCAGTGAATGCCTACCTATCAAGATACTTTGAGGAGGCTGTGCTCTGTGTCCCACTATTAACTGAAAATAGGCTGGTGGGTACACAGGACAGTGGCTTCTGGGTGGTGTTACTTACATGTAGATCCAGTGTGGTGTAGTGGTTCAAGTGTTGGAGTAGGACCTGGGAGGCCAGAGTTGAAATCTCCACTCAGCCAATAAGTCCACTGGGTGACCTTGGGCCAGCGGCTATCTCTCACTTTAACCTACCACACAGGGATGTTGTGATGCAGAGGGGGAGAATATGTATGCCACTTTCAGCTCCTTGGAGGAAAAGTGGGATATACTGTACAGTATATGCAATAATAAAATAAATGAAATCCTGATACAGTAACAGCAACACAGTTGAAAATAAAGAACTAAAGGAAATTTGAGCATAGAGATCACAAGTCAAAATATTTGATAATTTGATTTACAAAACTCATTGAAATATGTTTTAAGTATCATTTAGGATAAATTATGACTAAAACAAGATACTTTGTTCATTAACTTTTCAGTCAGAATTTGTCTATGAATTAATCAGAACTATAGCAAATTCTCTGGTGTTCTGAATGCTTATGATGATAGTGTCCTTTTAATGAATCACTATAAGATCTTAATAATGGATATTCTGAGTCCTGGATTCCAGTGCAATTTTGTTTTAAAAATAAAGGTTACTGTATAGGGTTCTCCAGATTAAGCTTTGTTTCTCAATTTTGTTTTTTAACTAGATCACCCACTTTATAGGCAGGCTTTTGGATCAAATTAACAACTATAAATTAAGTAGGTAGGATCTTGTTTTAATTTACTATAGCTAATTATCAGGTTATTCCTTCAGACAATAATAGCATAAGTCTTATATTAAGTCCAGTCTTGCCTGCTTATTTAGGCATAACACATAAGAAGTCACTTGAGATTTTGTTGAGTAAGTAAGCATACGCCATAGAGTGTTTATTAGGTTCTTCACTTTTTCTCACTAACATTACACATGTAAACCTGTGTATTAGTGAGTAGCCATCAGATAGAACACATTTTAAGAGTTTCCACTTTAAAGCATTACCCCCCTTTTTTGTTGATCCCTAATTCAAAATTGCTCACTCCAATACAAAAATATTCATTTTTTGATTCTAAAGTCCAGTCCACTGTTGTTACAAAATTCTTTCATGCTGAATTTCTTTTATTTATTTTTACAGCCCTTAATAACTTCCTGGCATGTGCATTCCACCTAACTTCTTAAAAGATAGTTCCTGGCTTGCAAGAAAACCAAGCTCTGAAACTTAGCCCCTGGTGTGAGAATTGGCACTTGGTCCATCATTGTAAAAAAATTGGTGGGACAGGTTTGGCCTTTTGTTTTAATTCCAATTAATCTCAGCTCTTCTTTCTTTTTAAAGCTAATGCTTAGCCCTGAAAGTTGGAAGACAACTAGGAAAATATTACCGTATAGTCTGCTTTTTGTTGTTTCTGCCTAAGCTGAAAACAAGCATGATGTTTCGATCCTTGATCGAAACTCCCATGCGTGTCTGTGAAGGTTTAAAGCAGCTGTGGTTGTGATGGTGGTTAGGGCTCAGTAATCAAATTATTTTATGCAAATGTATTTAATTAAAACATTTATACCATTCTTCTTCCACACTCACTACACTGCAGTTCACAAGATTTAAAAGCAATACAACCACATACACTTAAAACCAGATATAAAATATGAGACCAAGTGGGAGAAACAGTAGAGGATTGTGAACAAAATCCACAGCTCCCAGCTACCACATCCCCTTCTTTTAGTCACATTATGGGGCCCTCAACAGCCTTCTTAAAAAAAAAAAATATTCAGTGGATTCTCCAAAAAAGTAAGGGGCCTGGTACTCTTGGACCCTGTAATTCAACATCATCAGGGAGAGAAGAGAGGTAGTGACACAAATGCTCATTCATGTAACACCAAACCATACTTTAGTGTTAAAGTACAGACTGGGAGACATACACAGCCTTTGACTCCTCCAGAATGGAGATGCTAGAATAACAAAACCATTATAGGGAATAAAATTCCCCTCTTGTACCAAGAAAGCAAAGGTAAAAATACAAGGTAAAGGACCCAGTGTGGTAGCATACTGCAGCTTTGTTTTTGCTTTTCCTTCTATATGTGCCAAGATTTGTATTTATTATTTTGGTGGATACAAGCCCTTACCTTGGCTGCCACCTTGCATTGGTATCCAGTAAAGATGTGAGGTCTCCTTGACCATGCTCAGAAGTGAGACTTAGGCACTGGGAAGAACCTTATGAAAATAAGAGCTCTTCGACAGTTGACCAGACTTCCATGAGCAGTGGTGGAGGTTTTTAAGCAGAGGTTGGGTAGCCATCTGCCAAGTATGATCCAACTGAGATTTCTTCATTGCAGGGGATTGGATTAGATGACCCCAGAGGACCCTTCCAAGGCTACAATTCTATGATTCCATGATTCTGTAATCCTGGCAGCTTTAAAGTGAATTTATTTTGCTGTGGTTCTGGTAACCATATCTCTTGACAGGTAACAATATCCTGATTCAAGAGCACCAGTCACAAACTGATGACAGTGCCTCGTTCTCATTCTTGTACATATAATGACGATATCCTCACAGATATCCTCATCTGCCCCAGCTGCCAGTTGCCTACAAGATTTCAGTGTGGTCTATGCTAGGAACAAAGGGAGCTGCTTATACTGACTCAGACCACTGGTCCATCTATGTCAGAATCCTCTGCACCTACTACCAGCAGCTGGCCATGATTTAAGGACCAGGGCCTCTTCTGGCCCTACCTGGAGATGCCAGGGACTAAACCTGGGATGTTCTGTATACAAATCAGAATCGCTAAATAACATTTTACTCTCTTCTAGATGTTCAGCTTGTTTCATCATTAGAAATTTTAAATCTGCAGGGGGAGTAAAGAATTTGTTGGAACATCACCACTGACTTGAAAGACTTGCACGTTGTTGATCCTGACTAAGTGAGAGCCAAAACAAACAGTCCAAAGTGAAAGAACAAACATCTATCTTATTTTTTTTAGGATTACAAAAGTGCCCTCTAATGGCCTTTTCTCTCTCTTTCTCACCCCGCCCCCACAAACTATTGCTTTCTAGTCATTGTCTGTCTAATAGTACAGTATAAATCTGAGCATGAATTTGAATGTCTGGTCACACACTGTGGTTCTGGTCTATAGGTTTTGGACAAATAGAACTGTAAGAAAAAACTGAGTAGAAAACAAAGCACATTCTCTTGATCCTGGCTAGGTCAGGCTGCAAATTTCCTACTAATGTCTGAAAGAAAGAAATCCCACAGCCACCTTTGAAAAATACTGGTTGCAATCTGCCTCATTTACACCAAAGGACCAAAAGAAAAAAATAAAGAAAGCAGAAGAAAGCCACAAAAGTTTTACTTGACAATCTAGACAGAATACACACAGAAGCACAAACCCTGCCAGATGTCGCTCTTTCGTAAGTACAGAGTAATGCATTGCATTTATGTTTTGCATGCTACTAAGCATAGCTACATAGAAAACATAAACACACAGCAACCATTCACAGAAAATAGCGGCTAACTTCCTACTTATAACTTTCTTATACCACACAAAGTGAATATGAACCCGCAGGGACTGCTACTTCTAGGCTTGCAATAGCAACTGTTGCTTATAAATCACCATCAGCAATCCAAAATTAGGAGCAAGCATGTTTGACTATAGCAGAAAAGACAATGATGCCATACCCAGCAATCTTGGGTTTCTTGAATTATTGTATTTACAATACAGTGGTACCTTGGGTTACATATGCTTCAGGTTACAGACTCCACTAACCCAGAAATATTACCTCGGGTTAAGAACTTTGCTTCAGAATGAGAACAGAAATCGTGCAGCAACGGCGCAGGGGCAGCAGGAGGCCCCATTAGCTAAAGTGGTGCTTCAGGTTAAGAACAGTTTCAGGTTAAGAACAGACCTCTAGAACGAATTAAGTTCTTAACCCGAGGTACCACTGTATATCCAAGCTGCATTTTAGGGTAAACATGCTCACAAGGCAGCTTCTGTACAATATTAAAACACATGAAATCAAATAACAGCAATACAAGAATCATCATACCAAGGCAGGAGATAAAAGCCTAATATTAATACCAGAATAACACAGTTTAAAACCAACAAAGCCTTAAAGACCTTATAGCTGGTGATAATTACAGCATCTTTAAGCCATCTATTAATGAAGCCAGGTTTCATAACTGAGTACCAGAAAAGACAACTCTGAAGCCTAATGTTTTTGAGATGTGTGTAAAGCAAGTATGGTCATTTGGTAGTAAACTGATGAGTGATGATCACTAGTACATATTTTTAAAATGTGCAGCTGAAAATATCCAGTGTTTTCTTTTATAGCATCTATTTGCTGAAAACACAGTTTTAGTACTTTATACTTCAAACATTGTCCACAAAGCATTCCCAGTTATATATTAGTAGGTGGAAGCACTAAAGCAACAACTTCTTACACTATATTTTCACAAAACACAAATCCACTACTTTTTAAAGCTAACAGTTGCATCAGCCATTTTGTTCCTGAAGGAATCACGATACACACCACCTTCCAAAATTCCATAAGAAGCAGTCACCAGTGGATATGTTGCAATCCAAACCTAAGGAAACAATTCACTTTAATTTTTGTCAATTTTTAGGTCCCTGAGACCTGTAAAAGATCTACTACAACAGCAGCAAAAGGTCTGGATTTACTTGAAGCAAATACATCTGGAATAAATAAAACTAAATGTTTAATTACAGAGAGTTGAAAGTGCATGATTGTAATTTAGTGAGGTTAATTTCAAAGAATGGCCTGCCACAGGCATTTGTATGTTGTATTTCTATAACTGGGTGGAGGGGTGTGTGCAATTTTGTATCCCTCAAATCTTATTTTTAAAATCAAAAGCACTGACTTTTATTTGAGTTAGTCAGTCCCCCATTTGATAATAAATCTGCAGGATACTATTTAACTTTTGACTGTAGCCTTGGAGAAATCAAAGGGGATCATGTGAAGGTGGCAAATAATTGTTCAGACTAGACTTTAGGGACTAGGTCTTATTCCATTAAGCAACCTCTGGCTTGACAGTCTTAAACTTAATGACTTTATCTGTACAGATGCAAACTTAGACATCATTACTATAATTTAAAAGAAATACAGTTCATTTCACCATAGAGAACAAGAGTGTCATTTGTGTGTCTACTTAGTCTGCTGTTCAGGTACTCGCTGTTGATGGACAAAGTAAGGTGATTAAGGCTAATCTGAGATTAAGCCCCATTAACGTCAGTGGGACTTACTTCTTATTACATATGCACAGGATTTCTTCATAAATTTGTATATATATTTGTGTATATATTAGAACACAGGGAGGAAAGAAAAAATTGACTTTTGAAAAAAGTTTGACCATGTGTATAAATTATTATTACATCAAACAATGCAGTATAAATTTCTCTTTGCCCAGAACACACCTGGGACTTCTGACTCCTCACCCAGCCCAGATGTGAAACATCCTTATATGTGGTAGTTGTCTTTTTTTATTAACCAAAAAAAGTATATAATGTCTGCCCTTCCATTTGCCGCTTGTATCCTACAGAGGTGTTTGGCATGCCAACTCAACTTGGTGTTCCAAAGCAGTTCTAGGTCTGCACTGGAAACATGTTGTGAGCATAAGTGCGGCATTACACACACACACACTAACAGCAAGCAACTAGCTCAATTTTAAAGAGAGTTAAATTCATCATTGTGCCAAAGAAAAAAAGGATTTTTAAAGTTCAAGACTTCAGTTGACTTCAGTGCCATGTAAGCAATAAAAATGTTCTACAGCTAGATGGTGAACCTGTGGCCTCCAGATGTTGCTGAACTTCCAATAAGAACATCCCTGATGACTGACCACGGTGTTCCAACATCTGGAGGGCCACAGGTTAGCCTGCCTATAGTACAGTCCCATACACTGTGCTTTGTACAACTTAACCTCCATTTACCCTACACTTTATTTGGTTGTTTATTCCCAACCTTGTTCCTCAGTGGGGTCAGGGGCACTAACAAAGCTGGAGCCAAAAGTACACATGATTTTAAATTTGAAACTAAATGTTGACAGCCAGCCTCTTATGTTGAATCAAAAGTAAAACCAGAAAATTAATTATTCAAACCTGTTTCTGATTTTATGTTGTGTTATTTTTATGGGATTGCTTTGTTTTTAATTGTAAGCTGCCTTGAATGAAGCTGACATATTGGAGAGGCAAGGTATAAACTTTTGAACTAAATAAATCAGAACGTTGGTTCTGCAGGCCAGCACTACTGCGCTGATAAACTCTAAATTGCTCATTAATTCTTTTCACTGAAATCCAACTTGTTTCAAATTTATTCATGTATTTATTAACTAAACCCACAATATACCGTAAGTGGCCTGCAAAACATATATAAAAATTAAAATATGACAGAAAATGATTGATATCATTTGACATTAAAAACACAACTGAAACACATTTTTTAACCTAAGAGGACCATATCTTCTTAAATAACACATGTTATTTAAAAGGCCTGGATAAACAAAGAAATCTTCACTTGGGACTGAAAAGGCCAGAAAGATGGTGTCAGGTGAATCTCCTTTAGAAGGATGCTCCATAACTGGGGCCCTGTCTCCAGTGGTTGCCCCATACCCCTCAACTGTTCCACTTTGAGTGGGGCATCCTAGAATTACAGAAGCCATCCTGACTTGCGATTGCATCCCAGGCACAGCCCCCCAAGACACCAGTTTTGGGGGTCATGCTCTCAAGCGAGTTACCTGGCTTCCATGAGACTGCAGCCCCCAAAAGACACATGTCCCAATTTTCCTCTGCAGCATGTTGGAGGGTATGTTACCCATCTCATGTTGTTGGGCAAGGGCACTTGGAGCAAGGATTCAGACCAGCTCCAGGTAGGGTGCAATGAAGAGTACGGTATCAGTGCAGAGCTCAGGGATGTATCCAACTAAGTTCCTTCAGAGTAGACCCATTGAAATTAATATATCTTAGTCATGCTCATTTGTTTCAGTGGGTCTGCTCTGAGTAGGGCTAGCATTGAATATAATGCAATTTCCTCCCCCCCCCATAAATAAATTTCTGGATTGACATATTATAAATGTGGATGGGTGTATATTTATGTGCTACATTGTGCAATAAAATAACTGAAATTTAAGGAGTAACAATGGATCCTTTGATGATTTTAGAATCTTAATATGTTCAAATACAGTATGGGTTAAATAGGACTTATTTTACAGTTTATTTCAGAACGTGTTTTCTCCTTTTGTTGAACATATTATTGCAACAACGGAAATCACATCAGCATTTCAAAGAAATATTGTAAAATAAAATACCTTAACAATTGGATTTATTTTTCTAATCCATCCATAAGTAATACCATGGGGACCTGTGCTATAGCTACTAAGAAGTTTTGTTAAGACCACTTCTGGGAACACTCAGTTTAGTTATACTGAAGAAGCCAAAGGTCAAAGAAAACACCATCTGATCATCTTGAAAAGGAATAGTTAGGTTCTGAAAGGCTTTCCCCCTTTTCTTTTGATGGCAATGTGTGTTGTGTTTTCAGTTTTAGCACTATATTGGAGCACCCCATTTACCTCACTAGCCAGGTGGCACAGGTGCATTTTATCTCAAAGTAGATTTAACAGCCAGTCTTTTTATTTAAATTTAGATTTGTCTCATTCATTTAATAAGTGTTGTGTGTGCATCTGGATGATCCAATTTCAAGAGCAGAGCGGGGATATGGGTAATGATTTCTAAACCCTCCCTCGCCAACCACTCAATTCCCTGAAGCCACTCTTCACAAGTCTTGTCCCATCAGAATAACTTCCAGGATTGGGCCTCTGTTGAAGGAAAAGTGAATGACATGAGGTACTCTGGGGAAGTGATATGTGAGTTGGGGAAGGGATCCAGTACCTCTCACCCTTTCCATCTCCTGTCTTCTACATGACCGTGTAGTTTAAACATGCAGAGCTGCCACCATCTAGGTTTGATCCTATCTTAAATGACACAGATTCAGCATTATTTTCATGTTAGAAGCACTTAAAAGAATTTACAATTTAAATATGAACAAGAAACACATTGTGGCTAAAGCTATACTTTTTGGTCTTTCCAGTTACCTTGATTACCACCAGCCTCTTATCTTACTTCAACTGATCTGTTTACACAATCAATTCTGTAAACAAACTGAGTTTGTTTACCCAATTAAAGGGGTTAATCAAAGGCTGAAGTAAGATGGAAATGAGCCCTTGGATAAGCAACTACAAAGGCCCTGAAAAAGTAACAGTGGTTGCTTTTTTTTAGCTGCCTACTTGTGTGTAGGTACTGCATCAGAATGCAAGGATGGATCTGGGGCACAATTTTTTAAAAAAATAAAAAATGGCTGAAATAGGCAGAGGGAAAAACAACAACTAAATACGTAATATCTCAGTGATTGCCTGCTAGCATATGATCAGGAACTCAACTATGGATGTTTTGCTGCTAAATTCTAGCACATTTTAAAAGAGTTCCTCTGTTTTCTATATATTTTCTCAAACATTTTATTTAATCTTTGAGAAATGAAGAAGAAGAAGAAAGATTTCAAATTTTCTCCTTCATGGTTCCTACTAATAAAAGGAGTTTCAACATAACTGACTTAAAATCTCATTTTCCCTTGAGTTCCCTTTAGGTTACAGATAGACAAATCTTACAGCTTCCATTTTTGTCCTCCAGAAAGGAAAGCACATGTGAAAAAGTTTCATAAATACGAAAAATTAAAAGTAGATTTTGCAGAAAAGATATGTGAACAGAATACTAAATTCCTGCCAGCTACTATTCATTGATTTTCTCTGAAAGTTCCTATAGGATTTCATTACAAAATATTTTCCCCCCATAGGAGTAATGTAAGATCATGCATCAATTCCCCTATCTGCACACAGCTGGAGACCGAGAAAGAACTTCCCTGCTGAGTACCTAATAAAATGATCAAATACCATAATGTATCCTGTTATAATATACCAATAACCACTCCCTATGTTTTGAATGTATTTTACACTATTGTAATTAATTACAAAAAAAATCTTTTGTTTGGAATAGAAAAAAGCTACATTTCTTTCTACACAGTAATTTAACTAAAATTTCAGAACAAATAGAACTAGAAGTGATTAAATTGTATTTAAATGGACACATATAAAACACCAAGAAAACATAAGCCGCTACAGTACAGAAAGCCTACAAATAAAACAGCAAAAACATTCAACAGCATTAAAACCATAAAACAGCATTTGTCAGGCCAAGGTAAAGGTAAAGGACCCCTGACAGTTAAGTCCAATCACAAATGACTCTGGGGTTGTGGCACTCATCTCGCTTTATGGGCCGAGGGAGCCAGCATTTGTCCACAGACAGCTTCTGGGTCATGTGGCCAGCATGACTAAGCCGCTTCTGGCGAAACTAGAACAGCGCATGGAAACGGTGTTTACTTTCCCACCAGAGTGGTACCTCTTTATCTACTTGCATTTTGAAATGCTTTCGAACTGCTAGGTTGGCAGGAGCAGGGACCGAGCAGCGGGAGCTCACCCCATCGCGGGGATTCAAACCGCTGGCCTTCCGATCGGCAAGCCCTAGGCTCAGTGGTTTAGACCACAGCACCACCTGCGTCCACAGCCTTGCTAAAAAGGAAAGTTTTAACCTGGTGGTTAAAGGTTGTTACTGAAGATGCCTTTATAGGTCTGTTTGGGGTAGTTGTTTCAATGCACAGGCAACAGCCCCCCCCCCCCCCATTTACGTGCGTTTCCCATGTGTGTGACCATGCATACGCACATTGCGCTGAACACAGATGTGAATTTAAAAATTGCCAAAATGGCCCTAGAAGAGCCCAGGATGGGCAAAAGGTGCCAAAACAGCACCTAGCAATCCCGGGAGCCCTTGCCCTGACGGTTGAGGCTTGTGGAGAGTTGGATTTTGAGAAATGAGGTTTGCAGGGAGTGATAATGGTGGAGTTTAGTAAATGTTGCTGGCTTTTTAAAGGGTTTTTCAAGAGATTCCATAGTTTTTGGGGTGTTTGCAGGATTTTCCTATGGTGTTTCAAATCTACACAATTTCACATATGTGTGTGGTGCCTCGAAACATAACCTCCGTGTAAATTGGCTGTAAATTGCCTGTGCATTGAAAGTTGCCTGTACTTATTTAAAGTGAGTCACATTTATTTCGATGGAACTTGCTTCCAAGGAAATATGCTCTGAATTACAGAATCAATTAGCAACTACATTTCATATTCCAGGGTCAAAGGTCCGGAAGCAAACAATTCTCTAGACCTCACCAAACAAATATGCACATATCAGATCTGAGTTTCCCCTATCCCAAATCCAACCTCACCAAATCAATGTCAGAGGAATTCCTAAAAGACACATTCAAACAGGACTGGGGAAAATATTGTTACAGTGCAAGATTAAGAAGTGTGCTGGCTGTATTTAGTCTGTATGCTGGCTTACTCAATCAAGTGTGCTGCTTTTATTTATTATATTAGCTCTAACCAAGCATCTCAGATTTCCTTAAATTTCTTCACCCTTTCACATCTTCCCTCATGAGAGTCTTTCAATTACAACACAATTTCTGTATAGGCTAAGTAGGTGACTTCTGCATGCAGTGTTTCAACTGCAGTTCTTTCAAGGTATGTTCCCTTCTGTTCATTTCTTGCCTGCTGTTTGATGTGATGCAAGTCTTCACCTATTTTTTTAAAATAATTTTTTATACAGTACAGTTCCTCTAGTAAATATTTGAAAGGGACAGTACATCATAGCTGCCATTATCACATGCAAAATAGGGGTGAAATCCTAACCCTGGGCTTGCTAGGATGGGTTAGATGTGGCAGATCTCTAGCTGAGTTGTAAGTTTTCCTTTTAGAGGAGTTTTCTTGTTTTGTACATATGTGAAATTAGGCCCCCTTTTGCCCCAGTGCACATGACTTTACATTAACATAGAATCATATTTGTCATTTTACTTCCCATTCACTCAGTTTGGAGAGATCCTTCTGGAGCTCTTCACAATCCCTTTTTGTTTTGTTTTAATCACTCTGAACAATTCTGTATAGTCCACTACTCACCCCTAACTCTAGAACATTTATGAAATAAGTTGAGAAATACTGGTCTTGGAGGACTCAATTTTTACACCCCTCAATTGGGAAAATGGCTTCCTGTTCCTTAATCCATAAAACCACCTGTCTAATCCACAAAACAAACTGCTAAGCTTTACTGAGGGGCTTTCTCAAAAGATTTTTCCAAGGCTAAGTACACAATTATTATTATGTGCATTTGATCAAATGAAAGGTTTCAAAAGTTTAGAAGCAAGCTGGAATTCTGGACAGGAAGCTGTAAGTGGCAACCATGTTACTGTGCTTTTTGATCTAATCTGAAGGCCCTTCTTTGGTGCTCCAGTTTGAGCCAGTCTAAACTTGTTTTGAACTAATCAGGGTATAATTTCACTTCACCTCCATCTTTCATTCTCTAGAACCAACCTAGCTATTAACTCTCTGAGATGTTATGGTTTCTAAACATTTCTTCTAATCATGTACAGAAAACAGTCTTATCTTGACCAAGAAATCATTTTTTGCAATGGTTTTTTTCCCCCAAAAATAATGTTTCTTGGCTATGCATAAAACGGTGTGATTAAGAACTATCAAAATCAAATGATCAAAGGCTTTATACTTGCTTAGCTGCTTGTTCTCTGTTTATTTGTCCATGGTAGGGGAAAGGTTAGTCCTTTAGCTAGCTACTCGTGGAAAAAAAAAAGAGGGCATATAAACAGGCACATAGGTCAGCGTACCACAGATGAGTGACCATGACAACAATCTGGAAACCTTCAAACCCCCCAAACTTTTTAACGATGACTTTAAGAAAGAAGTACTAAAAGAAAACAATGTTTTGGCAAGGAGGCGGGTAATTAGTTCAAAGTTCAGGATCTTCATGCTTCTGGAGCTGTTGGGGGATTTGGAGGACATATGTAGAGACTAGGAGGTGGGAAGCCTGCTTGAGTTGCTTTCCTGTTCTTCATTATTATTTCCAGATTAAGTGGGGGTTGGAATGTACGTCAAGGGAATTCTATTTTTCAAAGGTAGAAGATAGACTGAGTTGTGTTGGGGGCCCAATTATCTGCTTCTGAGAAGCATCACGAGGCTTAGCAAAGGTTTCTCAACCATCCTTAGATGAACATTACTCATAAAGAGAAAGCACTATTACCAAAGGCATTGCACCAACAAGATGATAAAGAGGACACATATTTATTACTATTACTTTCCATGATTTTATCCAGAGGCCTTAAGCATGTCAATGGCATGTTTTCAGGTTTTTAAATATCATGCACTATATTATATAACTGATACCTTGCCAAGTAGGAATTATCTTTAGTCAAATGATTTTTCGGATTTACTTTAGAAATGTAATTAGAAAGGAATATGAGTAGACATGGGGCTCAATTAAGACATGGTGTAATCGCTGACCTCAGAGAATTTGCTTTTTACTTAAAGTAGAACGCATGAATTTATTATTGGTTCAGTTTGTCTTCAGAGCTACAAGGTACTTTTTTCTCATGGAAGAATTTGAAAGTTAAATTAAATTAAATACTATTCTGACCAAAGAGGAAGTAGTTGACACAGAAGTTTCATTAAAAACTATTAAAAACAAAAATAGAATTTTCCACTGACCTAACCATTTGTCAGAATTCCCTGTAATAAATGACATTTCAACACAGACTATGGGTTGAATCTAACATTTTAGTGGAGTTTATACAGTTCTAAGTGGGTTAAGAAGTGTATCTAATGCTGTCCATCTGTGAAAAGAATGGACTTCCACTTATGGAAAGGGATTTCATGTTCCTCTCTCCCCATTGCAGCTCCCTCCCATGCAACCCCAAAATATGCTCTGGGGGGCCTTCAATCCACAGAGCAGATTTTGAGGCTGCATGGAGGGCTACAGGAGAAAGACAGGAATGTGAAATTCCATTAAGTGAGTGGAAGTCCATTTTGCTCATGCATGGACAGCTATGGATATATTGCTTAACACATTTATTCCCATGTAAATTCTGCCAAATTTGTCTTGATTATCTGTATCTATGTTACACAAATGTGTGCCAAGAAGTCATGCTATAATTAATTAAGAGGAAACTTTTCTTGTTGTTTTAATGTAGTTCAGAGGCTTTGCATCAAGTGGTACATAAATTTATTATGAGATCTTATTACTGTGTTATGAGATTTGTAAATTGAATAGATGAATGTGGATTAAGTAAATTGGCTGTATTGTTTGCACAAAGAGCAGCATGGTTTCATTTTATGTTCTGTGCCAAAACAAAGGTGGAATGCATTTCACAAACTTTTAATGCCCCGCAAAAATGAACCCACCCCTTTCAGCACCTGCTTATGAGGGGACAAGTGCTGGGGAAAGGAGAAAACACATCCCTGTTGCTAACCAGGCTGAAGCCCAATCACACTAGGATGCAAATCCAAATCCAAATCTTATTTCAACTAAAACAGTCCAGGGCAATAAATCTAAATTGTGCATGTGCACAATTAGTAGAATGTAGCGGGTTTTCTACAACCATGGTCCCCCCCCCCTTTCTGATCAAATGAGTCAAAACTTACATGGCTTAAAATGGCTCCTACCATGTTTTAGGGTTATCCTTCTTTGGAGAGTCACACATGGTTGCTCTTTACAGCCTGATAGTTTGTCTCAACAAAATGCAATCTAATTCCACAAAACTAGAGAGGTTTCTGCCTCCTTATGTAAAGCTGAATGAAAAAGGGGCTCTGATTTCCAAGGAAGATCTCCTGGTTTTTACAATCCTATCACCACTGTAATCACATTCGTCATTACATTTCATCCAAGGAGCTCATGGTTTTCTTCCTCCCAATTTAACCTAACAACAACCTTGTGAGGTAGGCTAGGCTAAGATACTTTGACTGCTCCAAGATGCAGCTATTCACGCACCACTTACATCTCCACCTGCTGGCAATTCCTAAGCATAGTAAATATTCCACCACCATGTATTTAAAACAGCAACTAGTGTGGGAGAAAGACTAATATTTGTGGATACATGTCCAAACACAAGGACTTGGATTGTAAATGTGCCTTTCATAAAGAGATGCGTTTCTTCTGTTCATAGAAGGCTAGTGGATGATCCCAGGGACAGGGGTGGAGGAGGTTAATTTTTGCTGATTGTCCCACTTCCTGCAGCTTCTTCATTGGTTGGATATTCAGAACTCTACCCACAGGATGCTCCAGCCAATGGAAGGAAACACAGCATTATCAGCACCTCAAGACTGTAAACAGTTTACCGTATTTTTCTCTCCATAAGACACACTTTTTTCCTCCTAAAAAGTAAGGGGAAGTGTCTGTGCGTCTTATGGCACTAATGTGTGGTTGATTGTTGGCCCCCTTTCTGGTCCCGCCCCCTTGCCCCGGCCTCCATTGTTTACTGTTTGGAGGCTGTTTGTTTTCCCAGCGATGTGTGACTGGATGATTAGATTATCTGTCTGGAAACTGTAGAAATGGCTCCCTTTCCTTTCCTTAGGAAGCTGCAGAACTGTGAGTTGAACCCCATAAAAACAGAATTTTTTCCCTTTGCAAAGTAAGCTCAACAACTTTGAGCTGATCCTCAAAAAAGGGGGCTTTTCCCCTTTGCAAAAGAAGCTGCACAACTTTGAGCTGATCCCCCCCCAAAACGGGGCTTTCCCCCTTTCCTCCTCTAAAAACTAGGTGCATCTTATGGTCAGGTGCGTCTTGTGGAGCGAAAAATACGGTAATTTGCATCAGATTTTTAGATTTCAACAAGTCATTTTAGACAGTCTGGATACAAACAGATTAGTGAATCTGAATTAAATAGGAAACAACAAAGCACTTTCATATTCATTTTGCAAAATGATTTCATAACTTAAGCCTCTATTCTAGTCTATAGTGACCTGCAACCTTGTTATTCTCAGCTATTAGAGTGGATCCAGGCTTATAGCGCAATACTAACTATGCCCTATTTAATTCAGTGGGGCTTACTCCCAGCTTGGTGGATTTAGAATTGCAGCTTTAGTTAATTTCAAGGGTTTTACTTGTAGCATGACTAACTAAAGTCCCGCTGATTTCATTGGCCCTATTTTAAGCATTACTAAGTCTGGATCTAAACCATTCTGTTCAATTAAGGTGCAGACCCTGACAATTGGAGTTTGTGGAAAGAGGAAAGAGGTTGTATTGAGTATTCAATTTATGGCTTAATTAATATTACAGCATTTATTTATTATTGTAGTTCATTATTATTATTTATTCTTATTGTTTTCCAAAATGTATAGGAATGCAATAATTTTATCTTTAAATCAAATGCAAATGTAAATCAAGAAGAAGAATGCTAAATGTACATACCTGAGAACAGCTAGGCTACGATAAAGCCGCTGAGAAATTGGGGCTACTATGAATATCATCATTTTAATGATGATGATGATGATGATGATCTGATAAAAAAAATGTTCCTAAACTGTTCTCAATGTTCTACTATTTAAAAATTCCAGACGGTTCAGAACACCATGCCTGTTCTTTTATTATATGACACAAAAGTGGTGGCCGTACTCCCTGTTGCAGGGAAATTTCAAAAATTGTTAGTTTACACAGCATAAGGAACATTCACCTGTGATGTATGGCAGGGGCAGCTTAGCAGTGCAAACGGAACAGAACCTGCTTGCGTGTTTGTAAGTCTCATGCTATGTGGCTGCCAGGAGCAAACAAGGGTAACCTAGAAATTGTATCCAACTCTGTCACAAAGACTTGGAATAAATTATAACACAGTAAAAATGATTAAGAAGGCTATTCCTACACAGCTACCTCCTCATCTGTTTATCTGTCTAAAAGCTTTTTTGCATAAAAAATACACAAGGCCAAACAGTCAAATTAACTACAGGCATTTCTTTTCCATATTAATCTTATCAATAGCACAGGTAGTTTAACCAAAATGACCTCATTATTATCACAAACTAACAGCTATCACAGTGCCACTGTTCACTGTTCAGGAAGCCTAATCTATCTAATAACAGCTTTTCTTCTTCTTCTTCTTCTTCTTCTTCTTCTTCTTCTTCTTCTTCTTCTTCTTCTTCTTCTTCATATTCATATTTGTTAGGAACAGCAGAACTTGGGAGAATGTAGACCAAAAACACTATTTTTGTTCATTTATGTTTCACTTATCTCTACTACTTATCACTACATCTTGTGTATTAAGGCCCTATCATTAGATTTTATTCACAATATAGTACGGTACTAATTCAATTAGGATAAACAGAGGTTACCACAATGCCCTTTAACTAGCAATTATCATCAATTAGCTGAATTTATTCTGAGTCCCCTGTGGGACACAGATAATCAAGGATGAGTGTGTAAGCTCCGTTAACAATTCTTAGTTAGCCATAGTGTATCCAAACACAACAAAATCTGATTCCCTGGGGAAGGAGGGCAACCTAGGTATTTAGAAACATACCATCAGCGGCTGTGTGCTCCACAGAGAAAGAAAGCACACTGCCTCCAAACTGGGGCAGGAGGGAGAGAGATAAATGAGTCACACCATATGGTAGGTGCCCATCCAGAATCCATTTTCATGTAATAGCTTGTGGTTGGTGGGCACATTTTTCTAGCAACTCAGTTCTGCAAACCAGCAGAAGACCAAGTTTATTCCCCCACAAACCTAGCAAACCTACTGTACTCCAAAAAGCCCCTTCTTCAACACAAACCAAGCGCTTGCTGTTGATTACCAAACACAACTGTCCCAATCTGTACCCTACTTTGCCATCATAATAATCAGTGCTTTTTTACCCCAGTTGCTCACTTGCTGTAACAATTTCATGGTATGTACTGGCACCAATTTTTCTATATAAAAAAAAGCACTGCTAATAATCCTTAGTAATAAACTCATCTGCACTTACTCATTATGGTACATCAGGGCACTGTCCTTCCTTGCACAATTGCATACTTTATGCACCTGTAGTTTGTGGTACAAGCTGGCATTTGTGTAAGAAGTTGAAAAAACTTTTGTGTAAGTTGAAAAAACTCTACCTAACAGAGTGAAAAAGCTATCTATCACCACCTTTTAGAAAAATTGAGGTGAAGTAGAAGTATCTAGATTCTTAGGAAACTCATCAATGGATAGCAAGGATTGCAGTGACCTCATTAATGAGGGATAAATCATTAAGGATTAATAATAAATTGCTCCTGGAATTCAGCTTAAACTCAGGGAGAGACTGCCTTTTCATTGGCAAGCCAGAAGCTTCAACAAACCATAGAAGTATTAAACTACCCAATGCTAATGTTTGGGTACTAATGTTTTGAGTACCTGAGTACATGACATTTATTTTGCCACACTTTTTAATCACTGTATTATTGTGCATGCCATTTCATTAGTTGAATTAAATTGAGGCAAACCATTTACTCTAAGCGCAGGGTAAATTTATTGGTTTGTAGGACACAAGATGTTACAGTGCAAAATGGCAATGTAAAACTGAAAAACACATTCAAATCTGTCATGTTCAATATAGAATAGTTGTACATAAGCCTGTTCTTATACAATGTTAATCTTCTAGAGGATTATTATTATTTTATTTATTTATTTATTTATTTATTTATTTATTTATATCCTGCCTTTTTCCCAGATAATTTTTTTAGTTTAATTTTCTAAAATCATTTATGCAATAAATATTAGGTTTTATTCTTTGTTGCCTTATGTAAGGATGCAATATTTGAATTCCTCTGAAAGCAAGGCATCTCCATTCTTTGGTTTTGGTTTCCTCTCCTGGGCAGTTCATCAATCTCAAGAGCAAATACTTCTCCCTGCAGTGAGATACCCCACTGCAGTTTTCTAAAATAATAAATCATCTCCTCTTGTTCCGTGCTACTTTCTAGTATCCTTTAGCTTACTTTGATTTCTGCCTACTACCAGAAACTAGGAGTTTAATAGCTCTATCTGTGCATACAAAACATTCTCGTCTCAAAACAATGCTGAAAGCAAGGAACTTCTTCCTAGTCATTAAAATCTATTGGCAAAAGGTGAAAGCATCCCTTTTACTTCATCAAGACAAACGTGAAGCTTATGTGTTCTCTGCACTATCAATCGCTGCTCCCGTAAATGCCCTCCAGATAATGTGGCAGGCATATTTTTCTCTTATGGCTGCAATCCTTAACTCACATTTATTCTGGTTCTATGCACGTTATATTCAGGGGGGGAAAACTCCCACTGAGTTCAGTGGGGCTTTCTTCCACATTGTGTGCATACAGTTGTACTCCCAAAGCCAAACTACACGTGCCATTAAAACAAGGACTTCACTTATTCCTTAGTCCTCTGTAGAATTCTTTGGGAGTTCAGGTGGTCCCACTACCTTCTGGGATTTACTGGAGTGTCTTAGTAGATAGTTATCTCCCAAAGTGCCTTGTACCACCTGCAAATTTGCTTATGCATTGAGATTGCTTTCATGTCCAAACGGCTCTTCTGATGTAAGTATTATGGATAGAAAAAGACCCTAATACATATTGTCGAAAATCATTTTTGCTTATCTCAAATACTCTACAAGATGTTTTGCCTCCCAGTTTCATTAAGAGTGAAAGTAATTAGACCTAACTATTCTTCCTTCTTGGTGCATGAAGGCCAAAGTACACATAACATTAGTCACATGTTTAAGCAAGCATGCTTAATCTGGCTGCCTTTATTTTGGTGGGAAAGCAGACATTGGGCCCTGGAATGTGTTCCTGACCTGGAATGTGTACCTGATGTCTCCTTCCTGGCTGGTTTTTGCCATCAAATACACTGTTTACTGCAAACAGCATCTATGAGAAAAAAATAGCAGAGCGGCAGAATGCATTTTGAATAATAAGAACTGGTGTGGGACCTCAATCTGAATCAGGATCTGTCAGGGAACTGCCATCAGTGCCGGAGGGAGAGAGCAAAAGCCAGAGGGATTCCAGAGAGTGTCCAGGGATCGGGAGAGGCAGCCCATCTTCTGGGGAAGAGAATCAGCGTAGCACTAGTGGAGAAGGGGGGCAGATGGGGGAAGCGGCGAGGCAGTCCCATGAATCCTTGCCTGGGACCAGCGGGGAGAGTAGGGGTCCTCTGCTGCCCACGCCCTCCTTGAGCAGAAGGCTTTCACGCAGAGAGGGTAGGCGGAAACTAGGCGTCAAGGAGCTTCTTTGCTGGAAGAAGTTTAAGAAACGCCCACTGACGGATTCTGCCAGCGACTGAGTCAGCCACGGGTGAGTGGCGTCCGGACAGATAAGGTTTACTTAGGCAGCCAGGCCAGGTGTTCGCACCCAGCAAGGGAGATAGTTGCCTGCTTACGCACGAGCAACCCCTTAGAAACCTTTACAGGATCATATCCTGGATTTGGCCCTGAATTGCTTTTCCTCACTTATTCCACTCTTGGTAATAAGATGATACAGGCTAGACCCATTAAAATTAATGGGATTTGTTAATCATGGCTAACTTAAGTTCCATTGATTTCAATGCGTTTGCTTCATGATTAACAGTCAGAATCCTAACCATGTCCACTCAGAAGTAAGTCCTATTGAATTCAATGGAACTTACTGCCAGTGGCATTAGGATGGTAAGCTACTTAAATGCAGAACTTTATGAAACCTTTGACATCAATGACCCATGGAAGGGTACAAGGCAGGTAAGTGTTAACTTAAGTGTAATACATGACAGGTTACATTGCAAAGTCCACTTAAACTTTTAGCGTTTTAAAAAAACAAGTAATAAAAATAATGCTCCTCAAGAGCAGGCTTGAACTTATATGTTCAACAGATAATGTATGAAAGTATGAATTATTTCTACTTCTACATGTATCAGTAACCAATCCCATCAGCAACGACATAAAAGATAACATACAAAACAAATATAAACACATGTTTTTCAAAAAGTAGCTCCATAATAGTTTTCTGTTCATGAGATAAGTTAGAGCATACTGTTTCTATTACCTTTAGTTTTAAAACCACACACATAAAAGTTGCAAAAAGAGTGTGAACGGCTAAATATAAATTTGTTAATGAATAGATTAATTAGTAAATTCACCCTTTTAAAAAAAAAAAAGCTGAGGAACGGCATGATAAATACCTGCTTAGTAACCAAATTAAATTCAGCATCCACCCAAGTGGCAAAATTCAAGGAGAATGCTGAAAATAACCCCTTGAAAAAGGTGGCAGAAACTTTTTTAATCTTTAAAAACTAGTGCAAAAGCTTAATGGCTCGAAATGAATGCACAGTCGAACAAGGCATGCTTTCCCCTTAAAAAGCTCTACTGTAACAGAAGCTAGGGCCCAGATGTTCTGTGGTTAAAGCTGTCGCTTCATTGCATGAAGGCACCGCAGGAGTGAAACATAGCCCTAGCATTCCTTCATCTAAAATTCATTTTTTGGCTTGTTTTTCTAACAGTTTCTTAAACTGACAAGTGAAGCCTAAAAGTTTGTCTTTTATATCATCATGAAGTGTATCCTTTTACAAAGTAAGATTTCTGATGATGTGTTTATTCACTATTTTTCATAACGTATTTGACACATTTAAAAAAATGTAGGGGGGAGAGAATGGAGCTTTCAGAAGTCAAGGGTAAATGCTTCGACACCTTTCACATTCAAGAAGCTTCTGTGTCCAGGATCCAAACATGTTTTGCGGGGATCATGTTTAATATAACTTGTAACCGTAAGAATGTGGCAGCTTGTCCGATTGTATTTTTAAAGACAAGATTGAAAGCGTACTCTTCTATTGTCTCCCTAGACAGACGGATGCCAACAGTAACAACAACAATATCTAAAACTATATTTGATTCAGAGATATTCATCAGCCTACGGAAGGTTTCCAGGGTGCCTCCAAAGTTGCCTAACGAATAAATCCAAACTTATATGTAAACTTGCCCCTTTAAATTAATGAATTTCTGTTTCCAACCATCAGACTAAAAAACCTCTGTTAACTCAACATTATTTGGAATTACTTTTAATTTAAATTTTTCACAACCTAATTTTCCAAATTAAATATTAACTTTTCAATGGTAGTGCCAACAACAACAAAAATTAGGTACTAAAATTAATTAGCAATGTCAAGTTGCCAACACCAAATCCTGAGATACTCTACCGTATATAGTGCTTACATTCAAAATTGCACTTTTCTAGTCAGTTTTCTCCATGGAACAATGCTCAAGTGTCTCCAGACACACAGTCATATGGATAAACACAATGTACATACCAAGAGTATTCATAGACATACTAATCAGCAATATTATCATTATGGCAACATTTTTGGAGCCGTTGTCATCAGAGGAATCGCACACTAAACTTATCTGTGTATTATGGCAAGAATGGGCATGTTCAGAAGTGGAGAAAAGCAACCAAAAAAATGATTGCCCTAAATGATGAGCAACCCATTTCACAATGCAGTTGACACAAAGCACTAGAATTTAACCCCCTTTCAATCCTGTTCACAATCAATAAAATTTACAGAAGTTTAAATCCCCACGTTCCAGTTTAACTGTGTCTGGTCATTATTATCAAAGCAGCATACAATAAGAAAAACAAAGGAAGAGATACAGATTCTAAAAACAATAAAACCTTTCCTACTATTATCATGAGATAAATTATGTGTTTCCAAGTGGTTTAGGTACTAACAGTTTGCTCTTATGTTTGTATGCTCCAGTAATAACATGTTGAGGTTGAACAAACACTATACCAATGCATCACAAAAAAAATGTTATGCAATTGGCTTGGCAGGCAAATAGGCTTGTGATAAAATTTTAGGATGCATTTGACCTGGAGCCCTCAATGTGACCTCCATGAGCGCTGCAGCAACCTTATACAGAATACTTAACACTCAACTAAGGTTTCCCTGTCCTTACCAATTTCTATTTTATTTTACAAATACTAGGTTTAGGGGGTTTGGTTCAGGGTGTAGCCTTCTTTTTTTGTCTGTTTTATTTCTTGTGTGATGTGTGCAGGTGTTTTTGCTTTTGCATTTTTGGAGGAGGCATGGTTCTGAGCATCCCCAGTTTTTCTTCTGCGAAACTGGCATGCTGTGGTACATACAACAGTTGCTTAGATTTCCAGCTTTGTCCCCAAGTGCCCAAAAGCTGGAGAGCTCTGATCTACACCCCCATATTGGGTCATACCAAAGTTGCAGTTCTGCACCTTCGAACTGGCAAGCAGGGCTTACTTGTGTGTAATTCTTCTTGAGTTATTTCACCAGCTCCTATTGAAAGTTGTACCTTTTCACAAGCACAACAGCGTTTAAAATAGTGTTCAAAGGGCCATTAGATTCTAGACCCTAAATTTGCCAAGTGCATGTCTGAACAACGAACAAGCATGCAAAAAGCACCTCTGGGGACCATGTGAAAAATTTGTTTGCACAAAAGGTCATTGTCAGCTGTACTGACATGCAACAGACATAATGGCCATGTCCTGGATTAAAAACCTGTGTTTTTGTTTTTCCGGAAATGTAAGTGGCATAATTTAACTCAACTTCAATTTGGGACATTTTCTAATATAGTATATTGCCATATGTTGAATCAGCCCATTGGTCCATCTAGTCCAGTACTCATTACAGTGGTACCTTAGGTTACAGATGCTTCAGGTTACAGAAGCTTCAGGTTACAGACTCTGCTAATCCAGAAATAGTACCTCGGGTTAAGAACTTTGCTTCAGGATGAGAACAGAAATCATGCAGTGGCAGCGCAGCGGCAGGCCCCATTAGCTAAAGTGGTACCTCAGGTTAAGAACAGTTTCAGGTTAAGAACGGACCTCCAGAATGAATTAAGTTCTTAACCCCAGGTACCACTGCACACTGACTAGCAGTTTCAGACAAGTGTCCTTCAGAGCCCTATTTGCAGAAGTCAAGGACTGAACCTTGGGTCTTGTACATGTTAAAAAATGAGCTACAGCTGATAGCCCAGGAGTTATGCTGATTAGCCACCATACCTTCAACAGATGTTGTGGGACAGATTTACATCAAACCCTCATTAAATCGAAAGTGATATGGTGCATAATGCACCAGGGCAATCAAACCCTGAGGTCCATAGGGCAGAAATGCTTATCGGACTTGTTTGTTGTGTCTTGAGTTTCATTTATATCGTAATAGCTACTTACTGCATTCATCTGACTCTTGTCAGGTTTTTAAAGCATGTACACATAATTAGCTGTGCATCTGAAACAAGTTTACAGAACACCAACCTCAAGAATTGTGTGTCTCAGACTCATATCTGACTAGCTGGGAGTATTAAGATAGAATGCAGCTCTGAGTGTGTTTAGAATCGCCTAGACACATAGTGTTATATATATAGAATATCTGAGAGGTTTAAGATATACAAAAGGGGGCACTTCATTCAACATCATGTTGCTTGTGTGCACTCGGAGCATCTGTTACATAGCACCTAAGTCATTAAATGCTACTTCTGTGCTGCCATAAAGCTCTGGGGTTTTTTGTGTGTGTTTTTTTAAAACCCCTGTCATCTACAAACTAACATCTGCCTAACATGCATGTGACAAATTTAAACCCTCAAATTAGAAAAATATGTCTTTTTATGTTGTACGCTTTACTAAGTGTACTTTTTACCCCAAACCAGTGATGAAAACACTACAGCCATCATGTTCTTCACAGAAAGCTGACATATCTATAGATGATGCCAACTATTTTCTCATATATATTTTGGAATTTGTTCAGCATGAGAAACCATTATCTTTTGAAATATCAGAATGTCAGAATTAAGGAAAAATTGGTACGCCTCAGTATTTTAAAAACAACAGGACATACAGAAACAAAAATCTGCAAATGGTATTTCCCGTTTTAAGTTTCTGTTGGTTTTGAAATCAAAACACAAAGCAGAAAAGAGTAGCAAACATGTGCCAGCTTTTAACAATCTTACTTGCTTTGCAATCACAGAAAAACCTAGTGAGTTTCAAATCTATGAACCAGCTTTCTGTTTAACGTATATATTTCACAACTATCTTAAGTAGACAAGAGGAGAGGAGTTAATCTTGTCAACTCTTCTGTAACTTGAATTTTTTTATTCTTCCCTATACTGAAAATTGCATTCCTCTTACACTGGACACACTGGTTCAAAATACTGCCTCCTCATACAATAAGAGCCTGGTAAAATCAATTATTAGTCATTTTTACACACGGGGGGGGGGGCAGTGGGGAGGGGGGAAGAGATTAGGTTTCTCCCAGTACATGAAAAGGCTGGTAGGAACTACAAATGGTAGAGTTCAATACACTACCACAAGGTAATGTTGAGGAGGATTCCTACGGAAATTAGTGGGTGTAGGTGTAAAAGATGGAAGCAATAATCAAAAATGGTTGTGGGAGCTGGACCTAGGATCCCTGATGCGTCCAGATCCAGGTCCCATGAACACCTTTGAGAAAGTTGTACTACATATTCAGCAAGGCTTGAAATGTTTCTACACCATGTACTCCAAAAGCTATTCTTTGGATGTAAAACGTTGTGTCATATACGGTCATAAACAGACTAAGAATTATTTATATTGTTGTTTGTTTGTTTGTTTATTCAGTTTATCTCCCACCCTTCTTCCTCAAGGAGTCCAGGGTGGCAATTACCATATACTTTATATATTTTATAGCATCCATCATTTTGACTAAGCACATCACTGAAAAGTTAGTTTATGTAGTGCAAAGATCAAACTGGCAACCCAATCCTATATATGTTTATTCAGAATTGATTGTAGGATTGCTGCCTAAAACCTATGCAGATTTACATGGGAAGGAAGCACCCTTGTGCACAACATCAATCTACTTCTGAGTAGACATGCACTGGACTGAGCAAGACATATGAAGATGATGTATACATAAAATAATCTATATCAGATAAAGAATCTGATACTATCAGCCTGCTGCAAATTTTTATTGCAGGTTCCCCACCAAGTTAAATTTCTGAAAATGTGAAACCACCCAGGAGAGATTAGTTTCATTAGATCTGAAATCTGTGGCACATAGCTGGATGTATATATTAGTGAATCAGGTCCCTGGTGGAGATTCTCTGACTTGATCCCATTAGTATTACAACCCCTTTGTCTGGCGACTGACTCATAAAGAAGCAAGTTCTGTACTGAGCAGAAATTATGCCATTTTGGTCCCGCCTTCCTTCTTACTGAGCATCTCAACAAAGCATAGTAAACAAATCATACAAGAGCTGTGATTTTGCAGGATCATTTCAAATGACTGTCTCATTTGTAAACATATACTTTACACACAATTGCCACATGCTACTATATACTTTGGGGAATTTTTTTTTTTAAAAAAATGGCATCGCAGGGAAGTGGAGATACCAAGAACAGAATCATCTGGTCCCTTGACTCAATAGTCAGCTCCCTTGTTCCAGGGTGACCCACAGTGGTTGATTCAAAAGCAGCATTCTCTTTCTGTGGCATTGGCAAGGATATTGCATTTATATATAACAATAAGCTAACCAGCTTGAGAAAGGCATAATACTTTCCCACAGGAGTGTTAAATGGGTCCAGAACAAATAAACTTGTGGTGAGGGCTTTTTTTTTTAGAGCAGGGATACCCTTCAATTATATGCTCTTTGATAAAAAGCTGTATCTGTAAGTGATTAAGAGTTACTTTATAGTCACAGTTTCAGCTCTGTTGAAATAAACGTGTAATACAAGCCACACATATTTCATATTCATTCCATCCAGTAACATCTTTCTTGTTTTGTTCCTTTAATTGCTGTGAACTGCCAGACCCCATTGCTAGACTAATCCACTGAATTTTCCAAAAGGTGCAGTAATAAAAACAAACAAAACCATCTGGAAACACACATTTGTTTCTCTAGAATATTTTGTTAAAAATATTACTAGTTTTAGAGACTTATGGAGAGTTTAAAAGAAACTTGCTAAGAATACGGTAATATAACATCGATCATGAGCAGTTCTTAAAGAAGAAAATCGTTCAATTACTCCCTCCCCTTTCTGATCCTCTAAACTCATCTCTAACTCCAACTGTCACTACAAAATAAATTAAAAAAAAATTCCTTCCAGTAGCACCTTAGAGACCAACTAAGTTTGTTATTGGTATGAGCTTTCGTGTGCATGCACACTTCTTCAGATACACTGAAACAGAAGTCACCAATTGTCACTGAAACTGGAAAAGGAAACTAAATCAATGAAGTCAATTAGGATGTTTAAGTCCCTGCAAACAACAGTTTAAACTTCAGCTTGAAAGAGCTTATTTGAGTTTTGCTTCGGTTAAACTGTGGTGGTGATGTGGGTGGAGACAAATGCAGGAAAACTTTGGAAGAGACTACAGGATCACAAGCTGGAAGAGGGAGAAAAGAAGCTATTTTTAAGTAATAGGCAGCCTCTGGGTTATTTCCAGCCTCTTTCCTTTTCCAGGTCTACCTCAGCCTCTCCCACGTCTTCCAGAAGATCACAAGGAGAGGTTTCAGGGGTGCTGCGGCAGCAGGTAGAATAACCTAATGCTCCTTCTTTGGAGTCATGAGAGCGTCCATAACTTTGGATAGAAGGGGAGGAAAAGAGAAGGGGAACCCACCTAAGAACCAAACTGTCATGCCATGCGAGAACAGACTTCAAACAGGAGCCCTCCTGAAAACTCATCGCGGGTGGGGAACTTCTCCTGACGCGGTTCCGCCAGCCAGGGGGGCTTTGCTCAGCCCCTCAGACGCTGCCCCTTTGGAGGGGCGACGGGGGCGAAAGGAACCCTGGTGGGCAAGTCTTGTGAAGCTGCGCCTCTCCCCCGCCCTCACCCCGGCGCAAAAAGGGAAAAGAAATAAAGTTGGCTTGATCTCAGGTTCATGCCTCTCTTTCCCCTCCAACAGCACGAAGAACCCTTCCCAAAGTAAAGAGGATAATGGGAAGATCAGATGAAGCAGACCGGCAGCAGGCAGATTTGCCTCATCAGATGACGAGAGAGAGAGAGAGAGAGAGAGAGAGGTGCAGAATAGTATTTGGCCAACCTGAACTTAGAAAAATCAAGGTCAAAACCCCCAGATTTTAATGGCTGGGATTGCCTTAGCCATTCTTCACCTCAGATTCGGCGCGCGTGCGAACGATCTACTCTGCTAACTGTAGTCCTGTCCCAACATTTAATATCACCGTTTTAATTAATCCGGCATGAGGAGTTCTCTCGATCTCTTTCATAGCAGCTACTAACTTGCATCGGATCTTGCGTTGAAATTGGGACTCTGGGCTGGCTGGGGTGTGTGTGTGTGTGTGTGTGTGTGTGTGTGTGTGTGTTAAATCGGAGAGTTGGACTTAAAAGGTGCCGAGAGGTAACTAATCCGCTTTAACTGATCTGACATCAGACAGCAAAGCAGATTCGAGGCTACTGCGCTCCAAGCATCTCTCCCCCACCTCCCGCGCGCCTTTTCTCTCTGGTACGAATACTCGACCGGCGTGCATTTTAGAGCCAAGGAGTTGGACTGTCTGGCTCCACAAACAGGTGGAGAGGGAAGTGAAGACGGGGCGGGGGAGGCAGCTTTCCAAGAGCCAGCCTGTCCCAGGATCTCTCGCAGAGGGCGCTGGATCGTAAGGCTGGGCTTGCGCGCGCAGCCTCCCGGCGAAAGAGCCCCAGGCGGCGCACAGCTGAGTTCGGCTTGTGCGGGGCAGGCGCCGCCGCCCGAGGCACGGGCTGCCCTTACCCGCTGCTCTCCTCTCTCCGAGTGTCCCCCCTCAAGTGTCCGCAGCCCGCTATCCCCCAAACCTGCTCCGCTCCCGCTTAGGCTGCTCCTGTCTGAGCTCCTCAGCCCGGCGAGAGCCGAGAGCCCAGGGCGCCCTTCCGTGGTGCGAAGCAGCCTCCAGCCGCGCGCGCCAACCTCTCCGCAATCGGCTTCTGCTTACCTGAACGGCCAGCCTTGATTGGCCCGCGCCGACTTTGCCCCAAGTTCTTCGCGCGCGCTTCTGAGGCGAAGAGGCGAGGAGGAGAACCGAGCGCGACCGGGGCTCCTCGTTGCCCGCGAAAGAGCGTGAGGAGAGGGATTTAAACTTCCCTCGAAGTCGCGATGCTAGAGTTCCTTCGTCGGTTCCCTTTTTCCGTTTTTCAGCGGGAACGGCAGGCAAAGCCCGGGCAGGTCCTTCCCATTCTTCAGGAGGAGGAGAGGAGACCAAGTCAAGAGGGGCGAAATTGCCTGGCTGGAGGCTCCCTTCGCTTCTCCCACAGTTGTCTTTCTCGTGTAATGTTTCAAAAAGGAGCGAACAGCCCAGCGCCGAGGAGCTGAGGGGGATGGCGCCTGTGTGCGACTCGCTCGCTGCCTGCCCGCCTGACTTAGGAGTGTGTTGTTCGCGCTGAATGTCACTTGAGTGCAGCCTGGGAGAGCCGCTCCCCCCATACACCCCGCCCGCTACTTTCCCTCCCTGGCCCTGCCGCCGCCGCCACACACGCGCTCTCGCGCGCACACACAGCGCGCGCGGGGCCACCAAGCACCAACCAGGCGCCTGGGCAACGCCAGGCAAAAGCCTATCGCGCGGCCGCCTCCCCTCCTTCCCTAAGCCTCGCCGATTGTCCCGGAGGGAGCGCACGCGGCAGCCCACCCCTCGCGCGCTCGCTCGCTCGCTCCTCGGCGGGCTTTGCCCTCAGCCGGGGAAAAGCGGGCAGGCGGCGCAAGCGGCGGAGGGGATTCGTCATTCCTTCTCGTCTGCTGCCTGGGCTTAAACTCTCTCAGGGACGACGGTTCCCTCAGACCTGGAGAGTGGCCGAAGTCACACAGGCTGAGGCAGGTGCGGCAGAGACACACAGCCACAACCGGCCCCACACAACTCGGGGGCAGAACTTGAAAGCTGCCCTAGAGAGAAACAGGCCATTAGGGTCTCTGTCACAGGATGGCCTGCTGAGGGCAGCAGTAGCAGCAGCTCCCTAAGTGTATCTTCATCCCCTGTTAAGGTACCTGATCCTTTTAAGGTGAGATGCCAGGGAGGAGCCTGTGGTCTTCTACAAGTATAAAAAGTGCGTTTGAGCTCCTTCACGCGCTTTGGGCCACGTGGGAGTGTGGCTAATGTCAGAATGTAGAAGAGAACGACAGGTACGTTCTAAGACTGACGTATACGTTATAGATAGACATATAAACACAAATCAATTAGCCACCTATGATATCTGGACGTGTCTACAAAGATAAGAGTTCAGTCTGGTTCTGCCTCACAGCAGACTTCAGTTTCTTTCACTGTATGAGGGTTTTTGTTGTTGTTAATTACCTTCTAAACAACTGTCTCAAAGCGATTTACCCAAAAGATAATTTAAAACAATTTAAAACCCCAAAACAACAAGTATATCTGTATGTTTAGGGTGCATATAAAGATATAAAAGCAGCATGTTGATATAATTTAAGATTTGCATTTTATATTAAAGAATCACAACTCCCAGCTTTCTTCCCAACGGTTTGTGAAAATAACATGTTAATATAGGGGCAGACAATGGTGCCAAGGTGATTGAAAGTGGTTTGAGAGAGGCTCTGTTTTCCATGATGTTCACACTTTTGGGGGGCTTCGGACTGTCACATAAACTCCGGTCAAACAGACTTTTCTCGATTTTGAAATTATACAAGAACCGACAGATTTGTTTACCAGAGGCACAGATTGCCATTCCCTTCTTAGAACAACCCTCAATTATCCGGTGATGGGGTCAGTTTTCCAAAAGACAGTACAGTACATTAAAATTTAAGTTTCAGATGTGCTGGTTGGATTGTGCTGAAACCACTCTCACTGTTTCACTTATTCTCTCCTCCCCACGCAGTGTGCACACTTCTGGCATTATATGTTCCTAGCTTTGTTACATTTTGAAATCCACTTGGAGAAATAGATAGGAAATTAGCATGTCGTCTAATTCTTGATACAACTGCATTGTGTGATGCAATTTTACTGTTTTCTGCTTCAGTACTACTGTGGTGTTTTCTGCCCTGGGAAGAAGGGCTGATGGAAATTTAATAATTAACAATAATAATAATTTTCAGCATTCCTCCCCATAACAATTTATAGACCAAATCTTATGGTTCAAAGCATTAAAATGCCACTCTGATTCTGAAAGTTAAAAAAGAAGAGTTAGAAAATAAAAAGAAGTATGGTGTAAAACATGTTTTTAAAATTACATATCTGTATATATTTATCGATATGTTAAGCACCATCTATGCCTATGAGGTCACTGCACCCTTGGGCTTATTTTTTAATCTCTAGCATATCTGCAGCCCTGCTTTTTTCATGAAGGAGGGAAGGGTGAACAGCGGTACTGGGGTAGTAAGTAGAATGAGAAGGAGAGCGAAAAATGTGCTTGCCTCATTTACAGTTGTGCATAATCTCCATGTGGCAACCTGGCAACCACCCAAAAGCAACAGTCCTCAATATTCATACATACCTGAAAGCGATGGAACTTCCTTCTTAAGTAAAGGATCAGGCTGCAAGTCTTGTAGGACTGGCCACCAGCTTTAGCATTGAATTACACTTACTAAGGCAGAATCTATTGTGAAGCATGCAGGTCCTTGTGAAACGCAAGTGCAGGAGAATTTCCAGATGGATTTTGCTTGATGTCTTGATACCATGCCTCTTGGTTTACATGGAGATCATGAAAGCCAGTTAGTAAATAAATTAAAAAAATTGTGAGGAGTGGGGTTTAAAATTTGGTTACTTTTTTTGCTTTTACAGTAAATTTCCAGGGGGTCAGTTTTTGTTGGGGAAAATGTTGACAAAAGGAGATAATTCAAGTGTGTGCAAGCACATCCACAAGTTTTGGAGTGCACATCCATTCAAACAAGGAATAGTAAATAGAAATTATGTCCCAAGGCCCATGTCTAAAATCAAAACCACTTTACACACAGCTCTTTCATGTCTCTCCCCACGTCCCCCTTGCTTAGCAAACAAGGTTGGTCTCTGTGTTATAGCAAATCAGATGGCACCACGGCTCAGGCTGTAAGTGTCTTGGTCATTATATCACATTTGTTTTGCTTTATTCATGCTATCATTTATAATGACAAGGAGAGCTAAAGTTCTGAGTGTCCTAACAACAATATCAATTAAATAAAAAGAAATAGTAATCTGTTTTGGCTTTTTAGAAGCAGGGAAAAGGCACTATTCATTAAAAACCCAATTCACTGTGAAGTATTTGATCCAATGCACCTTTAATGAATGTTCCAGATTTTTGTTGTGTACATATAGCACATCACAAGTGTCACTGTCTATAACATTCAAAATGCACCAAGGCTCATTTGGAACCTAAACAAGTATTTGCAAGTTTAAGTATGAGAAAAAGCCACAGATGGGGAATTCCTCAAGATGTCTCTTACCAGAAAAGAACCAGTCTGTTGTTGCTCCTGTGGAAAATAAAATCAAACAAGCCACCACAGTAAGAGCAGCCTGAAACAATTTAAGAACACTGGCTAATTAGAAGATTATAATCTTGGGAACTCTTCCTTCTGAAGAACTGCTAATTGAAAATATCCACAACACCATCTCATCCGTCTCACACATAAAATTCCTCCTCAGAACTAAATTTCGCTGCAGTACATACAAACATATCAGAAAAGGCAGTTGGTACCTTCATCTGAGATCATGCCCACTGGTTATTGGTGTGCAAACAAACCCTTCGTGCAGCCAGAGTTTCATTCTCACCTGTTTCTTTCCCACCTACTTCTTTACATTTAAGCCCACTTCATAACCACAACCTCCCTGTATGGGGGGACACGGGTAGTGCTGTGGTCTTAACCGCTGAGCCTCTTGGGCTTGCCAATCGGAAGGTTGGCGGTTTGAATCCCCATGACGGGGTGAGCTCCCATTACTCTGTCCCAGCTCCTGCCAACCTAGCAGTTCGAGAGCACACCAACGCAAGTAGATAAATAGGTATCGCTGTGGTGGGAAGGTAAATGGTGTTTCCATGCGCTCTGGTTTCCGTCACGGTGTTCCATGGCACCAGAAGTGGTTTAGTCATGCTAGCCACATGACCCAGAAAGCTGTCTGTGCCGCAACCCCATAGTTGCCTTTGACTGGACTTAACCATCCAGGGATCCTTTACCTTACCTTCTGGGGCTGATGGGTGTGATGATCCAAAACGCCAAGAGAGCTATGGCTAGGTGAATGATGAGCTGCAGACTGTTGACTGTAACCTGGCAAAAGCAAATTGTGGAGAGGAACAGAATACTCTCCTCCTTAGCAGCTTCTAGCGCATGACTGGTTGACAGGAAGGGACCCTGAGTAAGGAGAGCTCTTGCGAAGAGGTGAGTATATGCTACCACATTTTGTTGCAGGTTCCACTTGTCTTTCCTAATCCTAAATGTAATTAATAATGATTATTTATTTGCAGCCAATCTGTATTAATACTTAATAAATGCAGTCTTTGCATGGTAAACACTCCTTCTTTTTGTTGGACACAAGGCCAGCCCTTGCTGTAGTGAAATCATAGTCCTGTAACCTTGATGATTTTTGATTGAATCATAGCTTTAAACAGGAGAGTTTGTCGCATTACTATTGAAAAGTGCTAGCATTTGTTTTAGTGTGCCAAATCTGATTATGATGTTATAAAATTAGATCAAAGATGAATGGCTGTACAGTAAAAATCCAAAAACTGCATGTGCAAAATAATGAGAAACAGGGTTCCCTTTCCTTGCTACAAACACAGTTTCTGAAGTTATAATTATACTCTGTTGTGGGGAGAAAGGGGAAGGGGGAAGAGTAAAACTGTGTTGTTTGGGGTTATTTAAAGATGGCTTGAAACCACTTTCACAGCCAGAACCTACACATGCTTACTCAGAAATAGACCCCACTGATTTCAATGGGACATTTCCAAGTATGCGTATATAGGGAGGGCTGCAGCTGTGCTGTAGGACCTCTATATGTCCATTAAGAAGTTTCACTGAATTCATAGAGACTAATTCCCAGTAACCCGGGTACATGTGGATAGGGCAACAGCTTGTTTATCTGAGACTGAAATGGCTTAAGAGTTAAGCTCCTCCCAGAGAAATTGCCAGTAGGAATGTCTCTTAAAAAAATAAGAGAGTTTGTCAGATATAAGATGGGCTCCCTAGTCATATTGGGTTGAAAGGTGTACCAGTACTTTTGAAGTGGCACATGTGCCTTCCACACACACTTAATCTGATCTGGCCTGAGTGAAATTGTCATGTGATCTTTACAAAAAATAAAAAATTAAAATCCGACATCACTTGTTTCTGAAAATGTACACAATACCTCAAATTGAATCTTTTCCCTAAAGAAATCTGAAAGCAAAGTGACCCTGAATATATGGCTTCCTTGTGGACTTCACTTCCCCTTTAGTAACCTGCAAAATTATTTGGACATCCTGGTAGTCCCATCACTTTTTGGAATTAAATAAAATGTCTCATAGAGACATGAGGGAGCTGTTCATGGAGGGAGCTGTTCCTCGCAGTGTCATGTGGCCCTTGAGTTTTGTTTTCATGCTGGGGCTGGCCTGAAATATATACCGTATTGGCCTGAATATAAGCCACACTTTCCCCCCAAATTCTGTGAAAAGTTAAAGTGTGGCTTATATTCACAACCTTACGCCACTGGCAAAGCTTCCCTCCAGGAAGCAGCCTGGGTATTGTCTTTTTTTCTCTCCCCCCCTTCAATTTTAAAGGTGTGGCTTATTTGCGGGTGTGGCTTATATTCAGGCCAATACAGTAAACCAAATATTGTCAAATATCCTTCAAAACGTTTCGCCTGAATAGAACCCTCCAGATTTGCTTCCGTTTTATCTTTCAGGGACAGCTGCTTCACCTAACAACGCTTCTTTCCAGGTGCTCACTTGCCTGCGGTTCAAACAAGCCTACTTAACCTGGCTGCTTTTATTTTGGAGAAAAAGTAGCCATGGTGGTCCTGTTTGGAATACATCCAGATCAGGGCCCTGTGCTGGTTTTCTGGTGGAAATTGCTCCCTT